TGTAATACCGCTTACCGTACGAATCGTAGTTGAATGTCCCTAATTAGCTTACCAAGTAAGGAGCTGTAAGCTAGATTCTTCACAGCCTTTCCTGCAAGCTCGACAAGAAACCCGAGGTAGACCGCCCACCCAGTAAGGGCTTTCAGGGATAATGATGATGTATATTAGGGTTTTCCTAGTATACCATTACAGGGTGGGGGGTCCACCGAACCCATGCCGCAGGTGCACCACAAGGACACACAATGTGTCTCCCCTCAAGGTTCCATGAAGGCACCCTTCTGCACTTCTGAGCGACATGGTAGGCACCAGATACCGCAAGCACGCACCTAATGCTCAAGAGCAGTTAGGAGCTTTCCCCTAGGCGTTGATGTTTCTACTTATTGTATTCACTGCTGCTTGTGTTGCTCCTTTATTGCACCATCATTATGATCCATATATTCTGAAAAGCTCGGCAAACCGTTTAGGACTCGCAGCCCAGCCCTGACACAACGGACGCTTGAAAAGCCTTCACGATCCGACCGAAAGCCTAGCTGCCGCAGGCCAGTGGAATCCTCGCCGTGAGACAGAGCCACACACAGCACATCACCGAAGCTATACATACATACATATATGTCTATATATATATATATATATACATGTGTGCATATACATATGTATATATATGTAGTGTCCCAGGAAGGATTATCCCCTGCAAATCACCCTGAATGTGCAGCCCGCGCGCTGGGCTGATGGCTGTGTGCTTCTGGGTCCTCAAGGGAAGCAGTTTTCGGGCCAGTCCAGCAAAAAAAAGTTGCCCAGCATGGAGGTTAAGAACAATTGCCACAGCAAGGAAACGCAGACGCGGAGCTCAGACCGTTTCAATAGCAAAGCTGTTAGGCGAAAGACTAGAAGCTAGAAGGGTCGCCGCTGTATATTGTTGGGAAGGCTGTGACTACTAGGCTTGCGACCACACATGATTACAGTGAAGTCGCTCTTCCTGAACGAAAGACGATGTACATCTTCACTTGTGTAAGCTTTGGTCTGCCCCGTGCCGTCTTGCTGCAACACAGTAAGCAAGCACCTTTTCTACTTTGCACTGGTTGAACCGTATGCAGCAGCCGACTTAGGTTTCCTTTCCATGCGACGATCTTATGTGATCGCTCGCTCCTGATGTTAAACACACTGTCCAGTGGGAAAATCCAAAATACTTGATATTGGGGGTCGAGATGTTCAGGGCAAGGGTTCCTTCGACTGCTAGCAGATTAGCCCTCCAGTTCTGCGCAGGTTGAGGGGCTACATGCTTGCGAAAACCTTGAAAACTGAGTTTAGCACGGGACACTCACTATTGCAAGCCAATTGCAAGCCAACTCTTCGATCAATCAATATGTGAGTTCCTGGTAGTTTTTTCCAAAAACCTTTACCAAGCATCCGGAATCCTAAACCCTCAAGCCCTCAACGTCCTTAAATTGCCAAGCCTACACAAAAACGGAACGTAAGCCCTAAACCGGGTGACCTGTGGCTGGGCGCTGGCACTTGCATCTTGCTCTGCTTGTCCTTAAGGCTTCTGGTCATCCTGCATTATAATTCTTATAATTCATCCTTTTCCTTTCCTTCTCATGTGACGGCAGGATAGCAACCTGAATTCGGCGCTGCCAAAGCAAACCTGAAGCTTGCAGCGCGCACTGTACACTACTGCGTGGGACTCTGCTGTTACTTGGGGATTAAAACATCTACTTAAAATGGGTGACCATAGGGTTACGGCACGATGAACAAAAGGGAGTTTATTGCATTACCTAACTGCAGGGTTCCTGGTCAGTCTTCCTTGGGTAGCCTGCGAATTTCGCACCTGCGCAGCACCTATGTCCTGAGTCTTACAGACTAGGAGCTCAAAAAGAGTTGTTTCGAAATCATAAGCTGCGGAAGAGCTGCGAAATTCAACAGCTCCCACGTCCGTTTTGCCTTTATGTATTTTTTTGCCAGCATGTTTCGAAGGATGATTCGAGCAGCCTGGTACCGCACATGTCGAAGAAGCGGGCAGAGTTTTCCGGCGATCATGCGTCTATACGCACTTGATTGCTAGGTATGCCCCCGCACATAGGAGCTGTCGAGATTTGCATCGTGCAGTCGGTGCTGTTCGTGTTGGCTGGACTTGTAGGCCTCAGTCTTGCTCGTTGCAGCGCAGATTCTTACAGCGGCATGTTGCCCGCCCTCATCTTCCAAATTGGTTCTCCATTATTCAGGTTCAACGGATCCCTAACCCTGAACCCTCAACTTGTTCACTCCGTATAAAACCTTATACCCCGCATGTCTTCCGAACAGCACCATACGAGGTGAAGCTCGATGCGTCCGCAGCGTTTGGTCATGATGCAAAGCAGGCTGAGGTGCGAGCCGCGCGTAATCCGACAGAAATGCTATGAGCCGATATTAAGGAAACGAACAAATGGAGAACGAGATGCAAATTGAAATTTAAACGTCACTTCGCATTTAGGTTTGGGGACTAACCGGGAATCAACTAGAGGAGAACATTGACAATAAAATGGAAACTGGTCTTATCTAGGAGCTTGTGAGCATAGTTACCAACACTATGTTCGAAGCCAATTGCAGCTGCGGCGTGAAACGAAGAGGATCGAGAACAAGGTTTGAAGACCCGAAAGCCTAAACACTTCAGCTTGCTTGGGGCAAATGCTCTTGTCAGAGATGCCCCTTATGCAAACGCAGAGAGCTGGGGCATGTCAAAAGGCACCCTCTCACACCTCCCTGGGCAGAGCACAGCATGATTTATAGGGTTTAGGGACAGCAAATCAGCACATTACAGCGCTGTAGAGGCTCCTTGGGACGGATCTTCACAGCCCCGAATCAGTTTTGAAACAGACATTGACATGGTGCGAGCTATATCGGACGTGGAGCAAAAGCCTGGTATGCGTTTGTTGCCTTGGCTGATTTCTGGTCAAAGCATGTGGGAAGGATGAGGGTTTAAGATGAGATGACAAAGCTCGACAAGCCAATAAGACGCAATTATCAATAAGTCACTGTGCTTTCGACAGATGGATAGGGCACGCGTTTTTTGCTTGTCAAACGTGGACGGGAGAGCCCTGACGGTCTTTGCGCAGACAGTCAGCCGTTGCAGTTGTGACTCCACGCATCCACCTTGCTGCTTAGGCCCTGCTGGGGCAGCATTGGCTGAGATCGCCCAGGGCAGGCGGGCTCTGGAATTCATCTCTTTCAAGTTTGGGGCCATAAAGCTTGTCTTTGTGGGCTGAGAGGGTTTCAGGATTCGAGTGGCTCAGCCTTCTTGACCGCGTGACCTCGGCAGCTTCAGAAGCTGCCATGCTTTGACGAGCATCGACTAAATAAATTACAACAAAATGTAAAGATGGTGCATTATATATATTTATATATATATGGTTATACCAGCTTGGTTTGGGTTGCTTAATGCTATACTTACCACACCACTTCTCGGTTCATGTGTCATAGTTATTTATGCAGTGGCTGTCCCTTGTAATCACTGGCCCTTGAGTCCTTCTATAAACCCCATATAATCTCCAGATCCTCTTGAAGGGGTTCAGAGACCCTCAAGGAGGCAGCCGCCCAAGCTGAGGCTCCAGACGGCTTCTCATGCAAGTTTCCACAACATGAAGGTTGCCCAGAATTAGGGTTACCTTTCGCGGCGTCCTTATAAAACGGCTTATAGGAATCTGAAGTCTGTTTGGGGGTCTCCTGATTTTGGGAATCCTTGTAGCAGGGCAAATAGCATCTACCCTCACAGCACGAGCGCTTGTTCCTATCAAGAAAGTATTCAAACTTGTAGTCAAGCATGTTAGCGGCTTCAGGTTGAGCAGTTAATTGAGAAATCGAGATCCAAGACATTCATGTTTGGTAGTGATATGATATGGGGTCGGAACGGGCCGAGTTTGCGTCGGAGCAGCAGCCATACCACTGGTGGTTGTGGTGGTGGTGGAAGTAGCAGCAGCAGGAGGAGTAGTAGTAGAAGTAGAAGTAAGAGACGTTGTAGCATAGTACAAATAGGAATAGTAGTCGTCGTCGTCGTAGTACTAGTAGTACTAGTACTAATATTAGTTGTTGCTTTTTGTTGGAGTAGTGGTGGTGGTGCTTGGAACTTAGGTTTGAGCGTTTAGGCTTCCTGCATTAGGATTAGGCTTTAGGTAATCGAAAGAACATGAAATTGTTTGGAACTTTGTAGATGGATCAGCACGCTGGCCGTTCGGTGGGAGATGCTTGAACAAAATCACTTTGGCTTCGTTCGGCTCCCTGTCAAACCAGGGGTCTAACCTCAAAGGCTGCCGAAATTGAGGGGCCTAGCTACAACAGCTGCCGACAGCTGATGAAATCCAGCCGCAAGAACCTCCCCAAGATTTCGCGAAGGCTCCCTAGCGCTCCCTGGAGTTCCCTCAAGGGTCGCCCTTGGCTACCGCAGAAGCAGCATCTACGAAAAGAAGAATTTGAAGAACTCCTACGAAAGCCCGCCAGGCCAACCATCGATGGCTTTGCTCCTTTCCTGCCGCTGACTGGGGGTGTCCATCGTCGGCTGCATCGCGCCACGGCTAGGCTTTAGGCCGCTCTGAGGGTCGTTCTTGATATTTGTTCGTCACTCCGTGCTTAGTGATAAGCTGGGTCTTCTTCGGTGCAGGCAAGAACCCAATGAGGTCAGTAGCAGTCATGTTGTCAAGGGGAAGGTTCAGAGTAAGCGCTTCGAGATTTTTTGGCGATTAGTCGAGGATTTCAATATAGCAGGCGTTTGTGGCCCAAGTGCCTGAGCTGGAAAACCTTTATTTGCGATTCGGAACTTACCTACCCCAAACGCCGTATGCAAGTCCTTGCTTTTGGATTTGACCCCCCGACGGCCAAGAATCTGAGCTGCCCAGGATTTACGAGACGACATCGGCGCTTGCAAAACGAGCGACTGCGGTAAGTGATGTCTGGGTTCTGACGAAGCCATCTTTGTGGCTGCGGGCTGAGGAAGGTATTTAAGATGTTGGCAAAAGTAGTATCCGAGATATGTCATGATTGAGCCAAGCCTATGGAACCGGGTTCCGGGGTCTTGGGTCGAGTTCAGGGTTCCTCATAGTGATCGTGCTTCAAGGTGGAGGTCTCATCAATCCGTGGAAGACAAGGCAGCAGGACGACCGGAAGCATTTGAGGCTCGGGGACAGCGTAATTTGGAGCTTCAGCTTTATGGCTCCTTTGTCGCCATGAGCCTTCTTCGGTTGATTCCCCTCCTGTGCCTCGCCTGGGGCGAACATTCCTCGGAGAGTTGCGACAAAGCATCGCGCCTCGGCAGCCCCTGGGGCCAAGTCCCCGAACCCTGAAGCCGAAGCCGCGGACACCCGTTTCAGAACGGCCTCAGGCTTCTCCAGACGAAGGCACTCGGGGAGGAGGCTTTGTCAAAGTCTTTGAGTCTTCTCCCACCACGCACTCTCCAACATCTCCGCTTCCGACGCCGCCGCCGCAAGGCCGGAAGCGAATTCCAAGGTGCATGAATTTCCAGTCCGGGTTGTTGAAATTTGTTCTGCCGCTTTCAGCGTAGGGAGCTCTGGTTAAACGACCTCTTGAGGGCTGTCGGGTTTCCAGGACCTTCTGCCCTTTGTCTATATCCGGATCAATGTCGCAGTCGGCCCGGAGCCTAGGGACCGGCGTTCAAAAAATACTCCTTGTGGGCGCAGACTTCCCGTGAAACTCTGAGATGACTCCAATAGAGACGATGCCAGGGCCCCAGGGCTCTTGGCTTATGTTTGGTGAGTGGGGAATGGAGGAATGAAATAAAATTATAACCACTATTACTACCATTCCTCCATTCCCTACTAACCCAAGGTAGGTCTTGGCTGGACATCTGTGGATTCGCCCCGTGAGGTGCTGACAAAACTGCGCGAGCAAGAGACGGAGTTCTTCATAAACTTCTTTGGAAATATCTATGGCGGCAATGGCATACCTTACAAGGCCATGGAGACACGGGGAGTGTCATCCTTCCTCCCGAAGTCATAGATGGTCCTAGCAGCTTCTACAAACCGTGGAGCGAGGGATATTTCGGGAGGTTTGGGAAAGGCCTCCCGTAATCGGAAGCGTGTGTGAGGCTCTGGGATACCGGATTGCAGCATGGAGGTCTCGGGCGTACTGTAAAGGGTCGTTTGAAGCCGCCTCACGTCGTATACTTGTGACCCCATCTCAGGGTTCCCGTACGCTCTTGGACGACCACTGACGGTTGTTCCCGCACGAATAGGACTGTGCATGCAAGAAATACCCACGCAGCTATATGTGCAAATCAGAGCACTGGAGGTTGGACATGCATCCTCTGGAAGCAACAAGATACTTTAAACCCAGGCGAGATGCACATCAGAACTCTGAACTGTCTAAGTTCCGCGTGGGTACAGAGAAGAGTTGCTCGTGACCTGACCACGGCCCAGAAGCAGAAGCCTTCGATCCTTGCAGGTAATGCCCGTACTCGCTTTGTGCTAGGACAGTTTCAAGAGCTGGGATTGGCAATGAGTGTCAGTAGGCGTGCTTTGATAGATGACATGTGCTGGAGCTGCCCGAGAACGCGAATCGCCATTCGAACTGATTGAGGCGAACAGCCATGTACGGCTAGGCTATTTTGGCATTCCAGGCAGTGAGTGGGTGGGGGCCCCTCGCAGTTTACAGGTGAGTGGGCGGGGGCCCCTCGCAGTTTACAGGTTTCCCTGGTCCAAGTGTTTGCGCCGGTTGGCTTGCACGCCGGACGTTTACTATCCTCAGTTTCACGTCGGGGAACCCGAGTCTTTTCGGTCTATTCATTTTCCAGTCTCTTTGTCTTGTTAGGCGACGACGTGCCGTAGCGATCAATGCAAACCCTGCGTCTCTTCTTGGCCAATGCCCGCAATCCTCTGCGATTTGTTCAGAATGCCAGGCGAATTCGAAGATTCTGAAGACGACGTCTTCGCTGGCTTCCCGCTTGCATTTGGTGCCGCAAGGCGGTGGAGTGCGAGCCTTGGTTTACATCGCCGTGATCACGAAAGCTCCCCCGGCGAGGTGAGAGGGGAGCTTTGTTCAATACCACACAACATGCCTGGGATAGTAGGGAGGATCCGGGGGGGGTTCAAAAGCCAGGGTTTTGGTGCTATCTCCCACAAGCTTCTGATCGGAACCCCGTTGCTGTAAGGGGCCTTGTTGGGCTATATAGGTTTTGAGTCTTGCCTCGGCCCTTCTTCCAGGGCTTCGGTACGAGAACCGGGCCTCTTCTGAAGCCAGCAGAGGGCTTAGGAAAGTTTAGGATTCAGGACTTTATGGCTTACCTAGAATCACGCGTGTCTGTGCCCCAACCTGGAATACATGACAAATCTGCTTGCATGTTTTTTGGTCTATCCCAGTTCTACGTCCCTGGCCGCGTCCATTACGGAGCTTTCGTCCCACCCCGTGGCTCTAGAGTAAGTCCAACGGAGATGTTCTGTGAAACTTCAGCCGAGGTTCAGTTCCAGATCGGGTTTATTCCGGACCTCCGGTTCAAGTTTGGCGACTCTCGAATGAAATGGGGCAGAGCGACGATTTGCGGTTGTAGGATCGGTGTCTGCCAGATTTGGTAGGTAGTGAGCTTTGCTCCTGGATGGCCATCCCCTAATGCAAGCACACCCGGCATCCCTCTGCAACCGTTTGGAAATTGGACGTGCGCACATAGGCGGCGTAAGAGCTTAGGACATCGCAGGGTTTCAAGTGCTGAGGTGGTGGATCCGAGAGCAACGCTACGAGCAACAGTTTGGGAGCTGGATCGAATCTCGCTTTGCAAGCCACTCGTGGCCAAGCTTGTCCGTCGGTTCTGTACTGCATTTTTGCTTGGGTGGGACCCGTTGCGAATGGTGTAGTTGTGGTGTATAGGAGTAGATACAAACCGGACACCGACATCGGCTCTCTGCGGCGAGCTTGGTTAGTTTCTCAAGCGTTTAGAGCTCTACTGCGTTGATGCCGTTCTGGACCTGCTTTTCTAAAGCTGCACTGCATCCGATGCCCGGTGCCCCCAGCCACTATTAAACCCTAAACCCCTAAACCCCTAAACCGTAAACCCTAAAATTGCCATTCGGAGATGCAGGTCTTCTCCGGGGGCCTGATGACAACCGGGTCCGCACCCGCTACGACGGAGGGGTGGTCGGCGGCTTCTTCTTCGAGGGCAGCCTCTTGGGCCGCGCCGGCCAAGTTTGGGGATAGGCTGCATTCAATCCGTTTTGTGCTCGGAGCAAAAGCTGCTTGTTCATAAAAGACGCCGCATTCAAAAGTCTTGTTTGGGCTCACTTCCGCTCGTGACACCTGCTCTTAAAGCTCGTTGAAACTGAGGTTCCTAAATTATCCAGCAACGAATCAGAGATGCAGTACGGGTCTCATTTCATTCCCATCAACACCCCACCGCTTCCCCGCACATTCCCCGTAAATTCCTCTTCCGTGGTTGTGATCTTCCAAGGGCAGGATGTGGAGAGGTTCGGGACATGGCATGAGGCTTCCACAGCCGGTGCTGTCGCCGGGACGCTTCAAGTTTGAAGACATGGAAAATTCATGACTTGTGCCAGTGCAAGCTGCGAACGTGTCCTATGGCAAGCCGATCTTGTGGCATGTCAAGTCGGACTCCAAAGAGCCTTGGGCTTGTTTGGGAGTTCGGGGTTCTCGTTCACTTCGATGCATGCTTGACGCACCAGCATGGCCAACATAGGCATATGGGTATGGACATTATGGACATGGAAGCACCAACTTCCTGCCTGCCAACGTCAGCTTTTTCGGCACTCCTCGCGCTGCTCGTCAGAAGCATAACGGTTTGCTTGCGCCCCAAAAAGAGAAGTTAAGCTGAGGTCTGGGAGTTGCAAAAAACTTGGTACACCACCTTTCAAGGACCCTCGGCGACACTGCGAGGTAAGCCAGAGGGCTTCAGGGATGTGTGCTAGATTCAGAGGTTCTGGGCTCGGCATGTCGGGGCGGGTTGAAAAAGGGATGGCTTGGGAGGGGCAGACGAATAGTTCGCTCGGTAAACAAGTAATGAAACGATAGGCTTGCTGAGGTTTTCCCATCATCAAGTGCAGATGGACAGGCTTGCCGAAAGCTGTCAACCTACCTGGCAAGCACATGGAAGGAATTTTCGAAGAGCTTGGCACTAGGATCTTGAGAACTAGTGGATTTCCCGCAGGTCTTCCCCAGTGGGACCCGCTCTCAACTTGTGTACTGCAAACTCCTGTGGGGACCGAGTTAATCTGTACCTTTGCCAAGGGGAAACTGGGAAAGCCAGGACCTCAGATTTGAAGCTCATGCTGCAGGGTTCACGGTTCAGAGGAGCAGTTTAAAAGGGTTGTATTCAAGATGACTACAAGGGATCTACAAGGATGAAGGCTTTCGGGGATCACATAGTTTCCTTCCGATGCTTCGAGTTGCGTCCGTCCTTCTACCCGTGCTCTGCGGTTTGCCTCGATGCCCTGGCGCATTTCACATGCTAGGGCGAAGTTGTTCAGGGTTGTAAGGTTGTGTTCAGGGTTTAGGGTTTAGGGTTAGGTTTGCACGTGATTTAGGTTCCGTACCCACGCCGTTCTTGCATACGTTTCGTTGCGCGTTGCTGTGGATATGGGTCTGCATCGCTTCATCGAGAGCGGCCAAGGGCAAGTCCGACCCGGGCGGATTTCCTGTTGGGTTTTCGGTGTGAGACGTGAGGGCTGTCGTCGTGTGATCAGTTTAACAACGAGGCTTCAGGAGGTTCGAAGGTGATGCCCGTCGATGTGTCCAGCTCCATGTTGGACTTATGAAAAAGCCGCGCAGAATGCACCATGACAGAGAGTTGTTTATCGTATTGCAGGCCCATGATGCTGCAAGGGTTTTGCTTGATTTTGCTTGCTAGTGCATACAGCTAAACACGAAAAAGCGCACAGCCGTCGTTCCAACACGTGGTGGAGACCACAAAACTGGAGCTCACGCTGATGAATACCCTGGCATTACCCCCAAAGTTTGTAATCAGATCGACACCACTTCATAAATGCACTTTGCCCGCAAAGTGGTTTCAAATATTCTCCGCGACTGTTCGTGCTTCCGCACACATTCACGGGCAAATCCAGCCAGAAACTGTGTTGCAGCTGGTTCCGGTTACGTGCAGACCACAATCAAGATCGCTCCACGCAAGTCTGAACGTCCCTGCCCCGAGTGCAGTGACTGCCGACACTTTCTTGACCGAAGCAGCGACTTCATTGTGAAGCAGAGTCGTACTTCGACGAAGCTTAGGTATGAGTGGACTTGTGCTAGAGCTATCACGCAAGGCACCTCGTATGTTGAATTTTGCAGACACACCGAAATCTTCGGACGCGTATACTCCTCTGGAATTCGTTTGCATTATCCCTGTACCCCCAGGTCTTCTTTGCGATCGAGAACAACAGAAGTGGGTGGATCAATCTCATCGCTAACAGTTCGGACCCAGTCTCTCGGAAGGAAGGGGGCTTGTGTGCTTGTAAACACCAGGCGAAGTGCATTCGAGTTGGTCCCGTGGGATTCCAAGTAATGTAAAGGCGCCAAAATGATTACCCGCACTATTGTGGGGGTTCCAGATTGTGATTAGAGTATAATTTATCCCAAAACTTCTTTCGAATTATGAAGGCGCCTATATAAGACCCCCCCCCATAATACCCCTTGTGGTAACCATTATAGAACCATTTCTAATCATTAAGACCCCTACCATACCATCAAAGAGTTGCGCATGAGTAGTTCCCAGTATCTCCTTTATAGAGGTTGGGAGGTTTATAGGGTTTCGGGTGCCAGGGTTTAGGTGATCGGGCCGTTCCCCAACTCTTTGAAGCCCTTGCTCGCTGAGGCCACGAACGGTCAAAGCTTTGCCGAGGGCCAGGGCGAGGTGCCCGCGCTGTGTTCTGCGATGTTCGTTTAGGGTTTCAGGGCCTGGGTGGATCCCAAATCCCAAAGCTCAGGAGATGGCCTTTGTGAGTGAGCTGCTGTTCCGGGACATGTTCCCTCAGGACTCCTGGAAGCATTGGGATCGAGTTTGGGATCTCGGCGTGCTTTTGGAGACCCTTGAGCCGCGGAATCCGAGGATAACGCGAAGATCGTGAACGCCCTCGTCGTGGAGTTCCAACAATATCAGCGCTTCTTTCCTCGGAGTTTCAGATACGCATGTCAGCGCGGGGTATTTTGAGGCTGTTGCTTCCTGATGATACTGTTTCATAGCCAACGGTTGATATGTCTGATCACTTCTTCTCCAGCTGTTTCGCAATTGCTTGTCGATTCGTAATATGATTCCCCAGGGTAAATGTAGTTTCATAAAGGGTTAAGAGCATAATATCATGGTTAACGCAAGCCGTCAGCTTTTCCAAGTTAGAAGCTGCTGCACACGAAGTACGCGCCAGAATGGAGTGGCGACTTATTGCCTCTGACCTCCCATGTAACGTGCAGGCACTTGGCTTTTACATCCTGGGGCTGTTGTGACCCCACCTGCGACCGATCCTACTCCAAGAATTGCAAGATCAAGGGCGGGAGCTGGGAAGTTCAGCAAGCCCGTAAGTCTGCAAGACTGTCCATAAAATGCACCTCTCGACTTGTCGTCCGATCCTATGGCCACACGGGCCAAGAACCGCGGGAACCCCGCGATCTGCCCCCAGCGCCAGCAGACCAAACGGGAACCCTCTGGCAATTACCTGAGGTCGGTTTTACAAGGAGGAGCAAGCCGGCTACACGCAACGCATCCTGGAGTGGCTTTCCCAACAACCATTAACAACAGGACACTGTTTTGGAGGTTAGGATTTCAAAGCGCTTAGGTGTGGTTCTATCCGAGGAAGTTTTGGTCCTGGAAACCGCCAGTTGAGAGTTGATGGTTATTGAAGGGTTGAAGGGATCGGGTTTGAGTTCAGGGTTTAGGTGCGCAGATGTGTATTTGAAGCCAGGGGGCGGGTCGGTTCCTTTGCAGAGGGCCGTTCGAGTCTTAAGTGCTGACGCGTGCAGGATTCAACTACACCGTCACCACCGACGTAAGTTTGGTGTGGGCGCTCACGACGTGACCATGATTCCAAGAGAGGAGACTTGGCAGACTTGGCTCGTACGGAACCACAAGCAGAGGGCTCTCCCCATCCCCGCGTTGGGTCTGCTTGGGGGTCCTCATGTTCTGACCCTCGTCCAGGACTCTACCAGATTCTTCGATCATCTGCACAAGGAACGTTCGGGAGCAGCCCTGGCCGCAAGCGCTTTGGGCTACCCGCCAGCTGCGCCCTAGACTGTTCCACGCCGAAGGCTCGAGTTCTTCTTCACGGTAGATGAGTGATGAATGATGATTGGGATACAGCAAAGGCTTAAGGTTCAATTTAGATTGGAGCTTAATTGCCAGGTCAAGGTTTTATGGGGTTGTTGTTCAAATCTTTTTCGGGCTTGTAAGGATTGCTCGGTTGATAGAGTCCAAGACGACTGGAATGTTGACTTGGATTCTCGGCTCATGGTCCTCGTGTTCTGAACCGGTGATTGCCAGCAACAAGTCCTGCATCCTGACTTCCTTAGGCCTCAGCCCCGTGACTTCAGAGCTGAGTTGATACGTTTCGGGAGTTGTGGGTTTAGGCTTTCCAGACTTTTTAGACCCGCACGATTGCAAGTTCGAGAAGCTGCTCATGAACTGGGCAAGGGTTTTAGGGTGAATAGGGGTCCAAGTTTGTTTCATGGGTTAGGGTTTAAGGTAAACAATTTCCTACAGTTCCCGCTCTTTGGGCCGAAAAATTCAGCGCAGCCCAGCGTAACGGCTTTCTAGGGCCAGAAGCAATGTCTTGCTGGCCTCTGCACCAAGAGAAGACACTTTGGTTGAGGTCTCGGGGATGTGACAATGTAGGGCCCTATAGACGGTTTAGGGTACTGGGTTTGTAAAAATTCATAAACCGAGATCTAGGCGACACACCCTTCAACCAGGTCATGAGAAAGGCAATCGGCCTCATGCCTAAAGATCTTCGGCATACGTATGTATGTACGTACTCATCTATGCATATGTGTACATACACATATACATATACATATATTTATATACATGCATGTATGTATGTATAGCGCATGGTCGAAGCATGCGTACTTAGACCGTGTGGAAGGCGAAAGTTGTTCTGTGTTTACTTTGCTGCAGATTGCAGCGGAAGCCTGGATCTCCGGTGCAGAGAGTCTTGGGATATCATTTCCTTTCGTGAAATAGTGAGGGCTTTTCAATTGGGGTGTGTCTTCATGGGATAAACGGAAGAATGAGCAGCACATTTCGTGGCAGTCTTCCTTGATGCAGCCTTAGCCGCCGCGCACACTGCTGCATGCCACAATTCGCTGATCGCAGGAGCCTTGTGTCAACCGTGCTGCCTGCCTTGCCCTCTATTGCAAAGGACCTGTGCCTGTTCGTTTCTACACGCTGTTCGCAAGGCCCAAAGAAAGCCCAAACTCCTAAACCCCAACATCCCAAGAGCCGTATGTTTGTGGCTTCTTTGCTCTTCCTTTCAATGTGCCGCTATTAACCTGGTTCTAGCCCTGAAAAGGGATCTATGCTGAGCTTCAAAGTTTCAACCCATCAGTCCCATCCACCGTTGCGAAGGAGCATTCAGACAGTCAAGCATTGGATCAGGTATTATAAAAATATACAGCAGAACTCCCCGTCAGCACACTACAGCTTGCTCGGCCTTATGACGCGAAAGCTACTCCTGCCAACCCAAACCCCAAACCGCCTCTGGTCATCCAAAGAGAGATTTCAGAGTCGGTATGCAGAGCAAAGGCGCTTGGATTATGAGGCAACCTCTACAGCGCTCGGTTTCAGGCCACCCCCCCCGTGGAAGTCGAACCAGGGTTCGGATCACTTTTCTTCGACGGGATATTCTGGCAGATTGCTTCTGTTTACGGGAAGAGGGTGAACTTAAACCCCCAAAAGTAAATCAGATAATGGCCGAAAATGCGGGAGGTTCGCCTAAACACCAGAAGGTTGCCACAATTCGTGATGCAAAAAGGCAAGCAAAAGGTAAGCATACGTGTTCGAGGGAGCAGGCTCAGGCCAACAACCAAAGGTTGCGATTGCCCTATCAAAGTTGTGAAAACGCTGGAAGCTGTAGTCACGGCAAGTCTTGGATCTCTGCGCATGATCCTGAGCCTTCGCCGCTGTTTCACATCTTCGGCCGAAGGTCACGTTAAACCTGACTGCCTGTAGGCAGGATTGCGGAGGTCGGACCAAGCCAACGAACAACAGCGGAAGATAACAAAGGTAAGGCGGACAAGGGCAATGGAAAAGGAAGTGTGAAAGCGAAACCTGGATAACTTGGTAAGGGTAAATGTGAGTGAGAAAAGCCGAGGAAGGGTCAGGTCAGGATCCGGTGGCATTTTCTCCGTACCACAGGCCGAGATGATCAGGAAGCAACGGCAGTGCTGCGTTCTCTCACGCTGAAGAAATTTATTGTCCAACAGGGTTGCAACCGCTGGAGGTGAACATCCGGAATCGACACGGGCATTCCTAGACAGCGGAGCGACTAACACTAGAGGAAGCGGAAGGCCTAACCCACAGGGACATAACTTTGGTGGTGGGAACAGCGTGCTTCTGTGTCAGTTCTGTTGGAATATTTGCGTCCATGGCTCCCATCGAGCCCCATTGTTAACCCAAGCCGGGACTTGACTGGAGCAGCGGAGATCATAGGTTAATTCATCCTGCGAGACAGCCGATTGTAGCATGCACTCTGGCGAAATACCTCCAAGCGCAGGAAAAAGTGGACTCGTCGATTTGAGTGAGTATTTGAAAAGCCAGAAAATATTCTCGCCGGTCCAAGTAAAATAATTCAAGTTGACATGGATCTCTACGCCACAAAATACAAATTAAATGTGATTGAGATCCAAGGCATAGGTTTTTCTAATCGTTTTTTGAAGCTATTAAGTTTCCTATCAATATGAAATAGATGTTAATATTTGAAATAAGCTATATAATGAATTTTGAAGATTTTCGTCGAATTCGTATTTTTACATTTAGATATTTTTGAATCTATTTTCAATGAAATGTACCTATAATTAAAAAAAGTTATATATTTGTATATATATATATATGTAGATAAATCGATAAAAAGATATTTCTTGATTACTTTGCGAATAATTTTAATATTACGTCGCTTATTTCGATTTATTTGATTATTTTTACGAAATAATTTTAATGTTATATCATTCGCCTCGATTTGCTAATTTTCGATGGGAGGATCGTAAAGAGGAAGGGAGGGATGGGATATTAGTTATAAAAAGATATGATAGGGAGGGAGGATCGAAAAAATAGGTCAAATAAAGATAGATGGGATATGAATCTAAAAAATGATGGAAAAAAATTGAATAGAGAGTCATGATATTTGATTCATTTTTTAATATAAGAGATTGAGGACTCGTCAGTGGTTATTTAATTAATGAAGGTTATAAGTGATAGGATGTGGAAATTTAGCTACGAATAAAAGGGGAAGGTATTCTTTGATTTTCATATTAAGTGGTATTCTTTATAAGGAATTCTTTGGTCCGTCGTTGTAATTGGAATCTTCATTAATCAAAAATTTAAAATAT